GATTTTCCTGAGCCTTCAAAAGGTAGAGAAAGACTCTTGAAAATCGGTCGTTGAACTATCCACAGGCATTTTATAATGGCCGTAAATAGGCCTGGACTGAATAGCTCTCCAGGCATCAGCTTGAATGGTGTCCTTGACACTGTTATTATTATCCCCACGGAGAAAAAAAGGGAAAAAAGAAAGGGAAGGAAAGTCTGGGAGCCTCCCCCCCCGCTGCATCTACACCCCCGGAGATGTGCTGGTTTTCACCTCCCAGAATTGTCATAAATTTCATGCCATTTCCTGCATTAAAAAAAAAAAAAAAAATCAATGAACTTGAGAAATTTTGCAAACTCTGGAGCAAAGGAAGCACGAGAAGTTTAGGAGAATTTATTTTCTGCCTTTTTGGCCCTTTGCCAGCCCAAATCTGGGGTTGCTTTCCATCAGGGAGTGACTTTTGTAACTTCCAAGCTGCCGTGTCCCGCTGCTCTTTGCTCTCAGCAGCCTCAGCTCTGACCCCCAGTTTTGGGGGGTTGCTTTTCAGGGTGACCACTTACAGCACCCCAGCACGTCACCACGGGGCAGCTCCAGAGCTTTCCAAAGCCCATTTGGAGCCTTTCCCACCAAACCTGTCCTTCTCACCTTAGATCCTCTGCGATTGTGTCACCAGAGACCCTGTTGAAAAGCTCGAGGTTAATCAGCAAGAACAATTTTCTCAGCTTAAATAGGGTGCTTTCATTTCTTGAAAGCCACTCTGATTTTTCCAGCCCCCTCACGAGGCAAAAATAGCGTGTCCTAGAAATGTCACGGGCGTATGGATTTCTCCATATGGAGAAGGAGCTCAGCCATCAGCCGTGCCTCTGCTGGAGCAGCCTCAGAGCCCTCCCCAGGGCTGCTGCTCTGCCAGGCTGTGGGCTGTGCTGGAAGTCACACAATTCCGGGATGGGTTGGCTTGGGAAGGAGCTTAGAGCCCATCCAGTGCCAGCTCTGCCGTGGCAGGGACACCTCCCAACGTCCCAGGCTGCTCCAAGCCCTGTCCAGCCTGGCCTGGGACACTGCCAGGGGCAGCCCCGGCTGCTCTGGGCACCAGGGCCTGCCCACCCTCCCGGCCAGGAATGTGCTCCTTATTCCCTCCCCTTCTTGTGGGGGCTCAAACAGAATCAACAAATCTGCATTTTACCCCTTGGCTCGCGTTCAAACACGGGAAACAGCTCAGCCTGGGGCCGGACCCCATCCCCGCTGCGGGAACAGGGGAGAGCAAGGTCCCTGTGAGTGCCCTGGGTCCCTGTGAGTGCCCTGGGTCCCTGTGAGTGCCCTGGGTCCCTGTGTGTGCCCTGGGTCTCTCTGCATCCTCGGGGATGCCCTGGGTGCTTTTGTGTGCCCTGGGTCCCTGTGTGCCCGGGATGCCCGGGGTCTCTGTGTGCCCGGGATGCCCTGTGTCCCCGGCTGGTCCCCAGCAGTTCCCCGAGGCCGGTTGCCCTGTGTCCCCGGCTTGTCCCCCGTTGCCCCTCCCGGCTCTCGGCAGGCGCTGGCAGCGCTGCCGCCCTTCCCGGCACCCGGCGCTAATTGCTCGGCTTCGTTAGGGAGCGACAGCCTCGCTCCCTGCGGGGCTCCCCGGGGGCTCCTCCGCCGCCTTTCCTGGAAGTGTTTCCTCCTCGGGCCCCTGCAGTTCCGCCTCCATCCATAATTGATGCCCGGGAGGGAGCGGAGCTGGGTTTGGGGCGGAATGCCGGACCGCATCCTGGGGGATGCCACCGCGAGCTGCCCGCCGTGCTGGTTTTGGGGCCGTGGGACACGGATGGGGCTCGTTTGGATGGAAAGCTGCCCTCCGTGAGCTCCTTACCAGGGATGAGCTTCGGCCCGAGTGCCCTCCCCTCCCCAAATCCAGCGGGACACAGCCCCCGCTGTCCCAGGGAGGTGGCTCGGGAGGGATTCTCAGCCCTGTCCATCTCCTGGCTTGCCGGGAAACACAAAGCCCCCGACCCAAACTCTGTATTTAATGCCCCCAGCCCGGCCAGCGGTTACATAATTCCCAGCTCCGGGCTCGGTGCAGCAATGAGCGCTCGGAGTTTTTAATCGTCTCCCTCCTCCCCGGCAGGGCAGGAGAACAGACAGAGCAGGCACGAAATGAATCCCACAAAACCACAGCTGACAGGTTTAAAAAATCTATTTTCCTGCAAGGATCTACGGGAAGGACGGGGTGATTAATGAAGACTATGAAGAAAAGGTTTTATCCAGCAGATTAATTTCAACGGGTGTTTAAATCCTTAGCGGAGTGGGACAAGGTGCTCCGAGGAGCAGCTGGGGGGGCTCCCTGGGCACCTTCCCAGCGGGGCACGGCATTCCAGCCCTGGGTCCCCCCGGCAGTGCCTGCCTGTCCTTGTGCCCCTCGGGCTCCCCCTTTGGCTGCTCCGAGCAGTTTGGGTGGAATAATGCAGCGTTTTACCAAAAAAAAGGGAGTGTCTGTTACCCTCCACGTGTGTTTTCCCCTGCCAAGGAGAGCAGCAGAAGGAATCTGATGTAGATGGAGGGTGACCATTTTCAGCTTCCACGTTTTAACTATCCAAACCTCCAGTTTGGGAGAAAAAGGTATTTAATCTCTTTTAATCCCTCGGGATTCAGACCTCTGAGCTGGAAGCCACGACCTCCCACATCCCACAGGACAGCAGCCAGGCACAGGGGGTCCCTGTATCCCAAAAGTGCTGCCCAGGGAAGCTTTGCTGCCCGCTGCCCCTGCAGGTGGGCTCAGCTCCATCCCGGGAGGAGGTGACCTGCACCCCGCCGAGTCCCTGCACGCTTTGGCTTGGAAAGGACCCCCAAGACCACCCAGTCCTGCGCTGGGCTGTTGGGACAGGCAGGTCTGGAGCTGCAGCTCTCCCTGCCTCCCTCCCACAGAGAAAAACTCCAGGCAGCTGCAGAGGGAAGGCAGAGCTGTCCCTGACAGGCAGAGTGTGGTTCTGAGTCCGTGAGTCCCATTTATCCTTCCCAGTGTGTCTGACAGAACTCCGTTAGGGAGCTCTGCCCAGAGCTGTGTGGGGCTGGAACTGGCTGAGCTTTAAGGTCCCTTCCAGGCCAAACCACTCCAGGACTGTGTACCCCCCTCACACAGCCGGTGCTCCAGGAGCAGGTGATGGCTCTGGACAACTGAAACCTACAGAAAATTGACACCGCGAGGAGCAATCGCAGCGGCGGCTGCAGCTCTTCCCATTTCCCCTGGCAAACCTTCCCCCGGGACCGTGTGAGCCTGCCCCTCAACCTTCCCCATTTTCCAAGCCGATGCACTTGATGGGAACTCATCTCTGCGCTCCCCACGGCTTCCCTGGCATCCCCGGGGTGGGACACGGCCGCTTTCGGCTTGGCTGAATCCCGAATCCACCGCACAGATTGGATTTGGGCTCTGCCTCGATTTGCTCCCGTTCCTTCCCGCTCCCCATCCTCTCCCTCCTGCCTCTGCCTCCTCCCAGCAGCAGCAGCAGCTTCGCTGTTTGCTCCTGGAACAAAGTGCATTTTAACCCGTTTTCTGTTTGAATCCATTGGTTTGTAAAAAAGCCAGATTGAAGCTTGCAAGGTGTGCAGATTCCAGCATCACTTCCAAGCTGGAAGCATCGCTTTCCTTTCACGGTGTTGTAAACCGTGGGTAGCTCTGCAGGAGTGAGTAAATGCCTGTTTAAGGTTATTTACATCAATAAGTAAATATTTACCCCTTTTTAAGCATCTCCAGTCCTTTGCAAACAGGTTTCCAATTTACAAAAATCAATTAAAATCTGATATTAGAATGCACCAGCCCACGGTGATGTTCCCGGAGATGTCACTCAGCCTCCATTCCAAGCCCCGCATCAGCATTCCAAAAGCTCTGCTGCTGAAAGAGCAGAAAGTTTCACCTTTTAATTTTTCATAGCGGATTAATTTTTAATTTTCAGACATCAGAGAGAGGGGGAAGTTCCCCAGGAGCCTCTCCCGCTTCAAAGCGCGCTCCAGGCAACCGCTGGATCGAGTGTCAATTTATCACACCGGAGGCTCCCATCCAGATTTCTCCTGATTTTTTTATTTTTTTTTGTTCAGACAAAAGTATTAATGCTGGTGAAGTTTCTGAAGGCTGGACAGAAGCAAAGCCTCCTCTGCTGCCCCCCGAGCTGAGGAGGAGGAGCAGAGGGGCCGTGGCTGCTCCCAGCTCCGCAGCGGGCACTTCATGGCCCCGAGCTGAGGCTGCAGCAGGGAACCAAACAAACAAACAAGGGCTCGGGGCACGGAAGCACAGCCCGGGCACAGCCAGGGCAGAACCAGGGCAGAACCAGGGCAGAACCAGGGCACAGCCAGGGCAGACCCAGGGCACAGCCAGCAGGACAAGCGGCCCCAGCACACACACGGGGCACCAGGGGAACGGCCCCGGCTGCGCCCGCGCTCCCACGGGCTGTCACTGCCCTCGGAGGAGATGGCAGGTCCCCCTTTGTGCCTCCCCAGCCGTGGGGCAGCAGCATTCCCTGCCTTGGGAATTCTCCAGGACCTCTGGTGTTTGCCCAGACCCCCTGTGAGGTGTTAAACACGGCTCTGCCTCCCTCCCTCTCCGGAGCATCCCGGCCGTGTCACCACACAACGCTCAGAGCTTGGAAGCGTTTCCCTCCTGGCTCCCAGCTATGGATTTTCCGAGGCTCCGCTCTGCCCTGCAGCTGGAGGAGAGGAGAGGTTTGTGCAGGCACTGCCCCTGGATCCCCGGGCACTGCCCACCCAGCCTGCAGGGAACAGAGGCTGAACACACCCACGCAATTCCTGCGGGGTTTGAGTTTGGAGAGCGAGCAGGTAATTCCTGACCTGCTCCACAGGGGCTTCCTCTGCTGGCTGCCGTGGGACAGCACAACACAGCCAGCTGATTTACTCACTGCAGAGAATTCCTCTGGGAACTCAGCTGTGCCCTGCAGGGCTGGGGGTGCTCACCTGCACAGGGACACCCTTCCAACCCAAACCACCCTGCTCTCATCCCGAAGGAAAAACACATTCCTGAAGAACCATCGCCGACACCCGCGACGCGTTTCGGTCCGGTTTTATTCCGCAAGCACGTATTTACACCAGGAACTTGAATCCACAGAGGGCGGGGAGCAGATTTGTGGAGAAGCAGACACTGGAACATCACACGGTGACTTCGTCACCCCGTGTCACCCAGGTGTCACCGGGTGGGACACGGGGACGAGGCCGAGCTGGCAGCAGCGCGGTGGCACCGGGAGCAGCCCCGGCTCCTCGGGCTCTGAGCCCCCTGCTTCGAGCAAATCCCACCTGGGCACCACACAGGTAACCCAAAGAGGAGTAAAAGACATTTCTTTTCTCTTTTGGAGCCAGGGGAGAAATGAATTCCTTCATTTTTGGAACAAGTAGCATTTTTAGCTTAGCAGGTAGTGCCAGCCTCAGGTCCGAGCTCTGCAGCCAAGGAAAAGCTGCACAAACAGAGATATTGAAATAAAAGGATTTGAGAGATTTTTTTTTTTCTCTTTCCCATGAGCAGAAACCAGAAAATTTCACACAAAATATTCCACAAACCAGATATGTAAGAAGGAAACACAGTCACAGCGAGTGTCACACAGGAATGTTCCTACCGAAGGAAATATTTCAATACATCCAGTCAAGAATTCTTTTTTTTTTTTCTCCATCATTTTGATCATTTTTCCATTCAAAACGTCCCCCTTTGTCCTTTATTTAAATAAATACCCGCACCGGCGGCAAAAACCACCTTTCTATACAAACACTGTTTTTTTTTTCCAAGCCTGCCGTTTAACATGATTTTTAAATTATTTATTTACACATTTTTCCTTCCGGCGTGGGCACGGCAGCACTTCCAATCCCTTCACCCTTTGGGATCAGCGCGGCCCCCAAACCCCATCCCCATTTCCGGCGGCACCCCGCGTAAACACCGACAACGTTTTGGGAGGCAACATTTCGGGTGACATCCGGGCGGGAGGAGCCTCAGCGGCCCCGGGCAGGCAGGCAGGGCCGTGCCGGGCTCACCTAGACCATGAAGCGGTGCTCCTTGCCGTCGTGGGCCATGAGGATGATGTTGCGGTTGGAGGTCCAGATGAGGCGCGCCAGGCGCAGCGCGGTGTGCGAGCCGGGCGAGGCCGGCTGCACCGGGGGTACCTGGTAGGTCTTGACGCAGCGCAGCTGGGGAGCGGAGTTGAGCATGCCGATGCTGCCCAGGAGAGAGGTGTTCATCTGTGGAGACAGCCTGCCTTGAGCCCGGCTCTGACAGCGAGGGGCGGCTCATCCCCACTTGGGGTCTCCGGTCTAAGCCGGCCTTGGACTTGCTCCGAGATTCCCTGGGGTCTGCGTGCCCCCGCACGGTGGGATTGCTGTCCCCAGGGAACCCTGGAGAACCCCCCGGGTGTTCGTGCCGGCCCTCGGGTGTAAATCACGTTTGCACCATTTAAATCACCTTGAGTAATAACCCTTTTAGGATGACTAATGCTCCTGATTTTCCTGCATGGATAATCGTGCCAAGCAGGACGCGGAAGGGAAAAAAAAAATAAATAAAAAATCACACATAAGGGCGTTTAACCCCTTGCGTTCGGGCTGGAAGGGATTTTAAGGGTCACCTTAAAGTCCAGGCTGCTCCAAGCCCAGCCCAGCTGTGACCTTGCCTCCCTTAGGGCACGAAGAGAAGGGATAAACCCGGGTTTGTGGCACGGAGGAGGGCGGGGTGGCCTCACCTGCCAGAAGCACAGGTGGCTGTCCGAGTTGGAGTAGGTGGCCAGGTAGCGGCCGTCGGGGGCGAACGCCACGGCGGTGATGGGTCCCTTGTGGCCGTGGATGGTCTGGGAACAGGGCACACAACGTCTCCTCAGTGAGCACCCCGAAAAGGATCCAAAAAGCCCAAATCTGGTGATTTTCTCCTGGATATCCCACTCCCCGTTGGGGCAGAGCCCCCTGGGCAGCTCCCGCGCCCACCCCGGGTCTGTAAAAGCCCTGCTCGGGATGAGCCCGATCTATGAAGAGCTCGTTAAGATATTAATTTATTCCTGGTGGAAAAGGTGAGTGAAGCCCAAATCTCTGCCTTTAATGGGATCCCCACGGTTAATTAGCTGATCCCACATTTAGCCCCGTGCCAGTCTTTAACACTTGTCAATAAAATATGTTTTGGTGACACGAAGGTAGCAATCAATAGGAGCAGCACACTTGTTGCTTTTTTTACTCCTGGAATACGTTCCAAGAAGCACAAATCCTTCGGGGAATCCAGCTGCTTTGTTATTTAAAGGAAGTGCTTCTCTAATTGATGCTAATCCTCTCCAGGCAGGATTTTTGCGCTCTCAGGGAAGGCAGATCACCGCAGCGCAGATTTGGAGCTGATAACGCCCTCCTGGAGACACCCAGGTATTTATCCCATGGAATTCCAGGGTTCCTTAAAGAAAAGGGCAAACTGGCAGCGGTGGCAGCCCTTGGGAAGGGCACGGGGCACCCAAGGGACACCCAGGAGGAGGTGACTGCAAGGACAAGGGACCCTCCGAGCTTTTCCAAAGAATTCCCTGGTTTTGGAAGCAACGGAAGGGAAAGCTCCGTAAAGCCACGGCGGTTTCAGCACCTTTAATCACTTGATTGATAAATAAATCAATGACAATCCCTTGCTCTGTTGTTTGTGGGTTTAGGAAAGGCTTTTGGCCCATCCAGCTGAGGTGATGCTCGGGAATTCCCTTTTCTCTGGAATTTCAGGGTGTGCTGGAAAGGCAGGTGTGGGCTGCAGGTTTTTAAAGCGCTGCTTTCAAGAACAGCATCTTCTCCTCTGGAATTAATTAAGCCGAGCCACGATTCATTCCGAATGGAATATTAAATCCTTTTCTGCCTTCCACATAAATCAAACTTTGCCAAGGCATCCAGCACTGAAATAAAATCAGCCCTGCACAATCCAATTAATGCTCGGATTGCTGGGATTTTAATTCTGGAAGGAGCCAGGACCAAACGTTATTGATTCCCAGGCCAGGCTTAAAAGTAGTTTTTGCTTTGAAATAAACCCAAAATAACTTATGTTTCTCTTTAATCTTCCGGTGCAAATGACCCAGGTTTTAGGTACAAAAATTACATGTATTTCTGAAATGCAGCTCTAAATATTTATGCTGAATCCCAAGATTTAATCAATAAAAATGGAATATTTCAGAGTCTCTCCTTATAGACCCAAATATGGTCGTAAAGGAAAAGGAGATAATTAAAGAACCTGTACTGAGGAATTAATTGGGGGATTTTGGGCTGGACTCTGGTACTCAGCAAGAATTCACCCAAAATCAACTATCAGGTATCCTAAAATTCAGTTACCTGCAATGTCTCTCTCCAGTCTCATTTTAGTGTTTAATCTGATATCAAATAGCATTTCTAGCATCAGGATTTTCCTGTGTTACTGCACCTTTAAGTGCAGGATTTTTACCTGTGTGTTAATAATTAAGAATCTTACACAAAATCTTAATAATTTGGTTGGAATGTAATATTATTTTAGTGTCTAACTGGGCAAACAGAGCCTGTGCTCAACAATACCTTACTCCTGTTGCCTAATCCTTTTATATTGTTCTGCCTGAATTATAGTTGTAATTATTCCTCCAAGGGTTTATTTTGGGATAAAAATTGCATCTGTGGGGTTCCGAGCTGGGCAAACAAAGGGCACATTTCCAGGTGGAGCTGCTGCTCTCAGAACTGGTTTCCAATTCCCTGAGAAGCATCAATTATCTTTATCAAATCCCAGATCTCATCTCGGCCCTGATCAAGATGGAGCCGGGAAGGAAGGGAGGGAGGAAGGGATCAATAATCATCATGGAAGGTGCCGAGGGAAGCTCCACCTTCTTTTTGGGAAGCTGCTGGGTTTAACCTGTGCCTCACCTGAGACAGGAGTGCAGGGAATGGCCCTGGGGATGGAGATCAGAGGGAGCACAGCCCCGGAGCCCCGGCGGGGACAGCTCAGCCGGGGAACATGGAGGGAATGGGTGAGGGAACAAGGAGGGAATGGGTGAGGGAACAAGGAGGGGAATGAGTGAGGGGGAATATGGAGGAGGAATGAGTGAGGGGGAACGTGTGAGGGGAAATATGGAGGAGGAACGTATGAGGTGGAATACAGAGCAGGATTGTGTGAGGGGGAATATGAGGAGGAATACGGAGCGGGAACACAGAGCAGGATTGTGTGAGGGGGAATATGAGGGGGAATATGAAGGAGAACATGAGGGTGAAGAGGGGAAATATGGAGGAGGAATGTATGAGGTGGAATATGGAGCAGGATTGTGTGAGGGGGAATACGGAGCAGGATTGTGTGAGGGGGAATACGAGGAGGAATACGGAGCGGGAACACGGAGCAGGAATACGGAGGGGGAATACGGAGGGGCAATATGAAGGAGAACATGAGGGTGAGCATGGAGGGCCGTGTGCCACCCAGAGCACGCCGGAGGGTTAGTGACTCATGGCATAGGAGGGGAGGAGAAAGAACCTGCTCTTGATGTGGAGCTAGGGAAAAAGAGATTCGGTGTTTGCATCTGGAATAGTCAGAATATAGTAAATTTTACTGAGGGGAAACCCCATCCTAGCCAAATGCTGATGTATTTTTTATTAAAAAGGGGGATTTTTGATATCCATCATCCTATTGATCACTCCAAGTAATTCCTCAGTCAGTTCCTACAACCACCCATCTCAAAAAAATTAAAATTACCTGGAAGGGGGGAAAAAACCAAACCCAAAAAGCTTTTCAGGATCCCAAAACCCCTCACAGGAAAGGAAATAAGAAACCTGAGCTTTTCAGCTTTTCTCCAACGGCACGGCTTTTTCAGCTGCACCATCCCTGTTTTTGAGCAGCCAGAAAAATCTGCAGTTGTGAGAAATTACGTATAAAATCAGACTTGGAAGCAGAAACCTGTATCCAACAGATGGGTAATTTACCTGGAAAATTTTTTGTATCTCATTAAAAGGACCTGTCCTAATTATCCTGGGAGTCCCTTTGGTCACCCCCAGCTCTATTTTCCATTATTAACGTGGAAGATTATTTAGAAAAGGGAGGAACTTTGCCCAGCACAGAGTAGATAATTCCAGATTTCAGGGGAGATAACCCCCGCAGTGTCGGCCCAGGTGCCGCGCGGTGCCCGGTGGCACTCCTGGACCGAGCTGCCCATCGCAGGCGCTGTCCCGGGCACACAGCAGCCCAGCAGCCAGGGCTGATGCCCCCGGCCCCTCCTCACCTGGCACTTGCCCGTGCGGATGTCGTAGAGCGCCACGGAGCCGTGGCGCGCTCCCACGGCGACGCGGTGGCTGCGCTCGTAGTAACTCACCATGTAGAACCTGGGGGAGCAGCAGAGCGGGCGCTGAGGCTGGCACAGCAGGCTCAGAGCTGATTTACAGCCCGCGGCGTGACACCACGGCAACAGCTGATGTGATACAGGGGACCTGATCGGATTTATCCACGGCCAGGGCTGTACACCTCTAAAGCTGGTTCAGTGCCCACCCGACACCCTGCCCGACCCCCGTGGGAACCAAACAGAAAGGAAGGGAAGCGGAAGGAGAAATAAGCAAACTCATCAATTTTTGATGGGCATAAAGGAAAAGGAAGAGGGAAATTCGCCATTCCCTACTCCAATAACACCCTTGGGGTAAAGGCTGCAATAGTCCTGAACACCCAGGGTGACCGTGTGGCTGCAAAATCCTAGGAATTTCAACACTTTGAAACCCAAGAGGCACTAAATCCTGATTGCAAATTCAAATCCTTGGGGATATCACAGGAGAGCAGAGCTGTGGAAGTGCCAGCTGCATTCCGAATTACGCATTTTGCAGTGAAATTTGCAGTTCCCCTCGGGACCCTCACCAGGCACTGGATCATTTTTACACTGGCTGTAACCAGGAAATATTACCAGCAATTGCAGGGAATTTTAAACTCCTGGACTGCTAGAAATATGCAGAGGAATAGGGAGATGGGGCACTAATTCCCATTTATCCTCCCCTTTATGTTTTAAGGAAAGCCACTTAAAGCACCAGGAAGGAGGAAGATCATCTCCATCAGTATCCAGGCTGGCAATAGGATAACTGTTCTTTCCGTGAAACTATTCAATATTTTAATAGGTTATTAAATTAAAATGTAATGGCTGACAGGTGATTATTACAATTTATTGGCTGGACCAGTTTAAGAGGATGACTGGGATACTTATTCACATTTAAAGATACTGGAAATGCCCCCATTTTATAAATCACCTTTTATTCTTTGTTGTGTCACCTAAAAGACTGTTTCTCCCTTAATTAGGAAATATATCTTGCTGGTGATCCTATCACTTACTTCCCAGGATTCCCAGAGGAAGAGCTCACCTGCAGATGGCTGGAAAACATTCCTGAAGACCCTTTTTCTTAACTAAAGATCCTTCCAGGCAGTACATGATGATGTCCATCACCTTGGAAACAAAAATTACCATCAGCTGACAATCCGTGTTTTATGCTCTATAATTCAAGTGGTGAAGGTCATCCCATTCCAAGCCCTGGCAAGGGCAGGACACTCTCCAGCAGATCAGGTCGTTCCGAGCTGCGTCCAGCCCGGCTTTGACCTTTTGGTTAGGATATTTTCCCCAACAGCACGATTTATTTAACGCAATTTAGAAATTGATATAAAGCAAATCCTCTCCACCCCCGAAGGCCACGCGGACAGAAGCTCCCAGAGCGGAGTCAGACCGTGCCGGCGGCGAGGCCTCACCTCCACCAGCAGGTCCACCACGTCGGCGGGCATCTTGTCGATGAGGATCTCGATGACGCGCAGGATCTCGCCCTTGGCGCGGGCCAGTGTGCTGGTGTGGATGTTCTGCTGCGACTGCGTGTTGGCCGCCAGCGCCGTGTGCCTGTGCACCTGTGGGAGCAGGGATGGGCAGGGGAAAGGCTCCGGGAGCAGCGAGGCTGGTCCTGAACCCAGCACCGCTCTGGGAGCAGCGAGGCTGGCCCCGAACCCAGCACTGCTCCGGGAGCAGCGAGGCTGGTCCCGAACCCAGCACCGCTCCGGGAGCAGCGAGGCTGGCCCCGAACCCAGCATTGCTCTGGAAGCGGCGAGGCTGGCCCCAAACCCAGCACCGCTCCTGGAGCAGCAAGGCTGGTCCTGAACCCAGCACCGCCTTTGGGTCACCACTGAGCCCGAACCCAGCACCGCTCCGGGAGCAGAGAGGCTGAGCCTGAACCCAGCACCGCCTTTGGGTCACCACTGAGCCCGAACCCAGCACCGCTCCGGGAGCAGAGAGGCTGGCCCCGAACCCAGCACCGCCTCGGGTCACCGATGGCCCCAAACCCAGAACCACCTCCCGTTCACCGCCTCACCCGAACCCAGCACCGCTCCTGGAGCAGAGAGGCTGGCCCCGAACCCAGCATCGCCTCTGGGTCACCACTGAGCCTGAACCCAGCACCGCTGAGCCTGAACCCAGCACCACCTTCCGGTCACCACTGAGCCCGAACCCAGCACCGCCTCGCGCGAACCCAGCACCGCTCCCGGTCACCTCGGCTCAGCGCAGCGCCGCACGGGCCGTGCCCGGTGCACAGCGCGCTGCCCGCCCTGCTGAGGCCGGGAAGGGCTCCCGAGAGCCCTCCCGAGGGCTCACCTCCTTGGCGATGGTGGTGATGAAGGCGGGCGGGCGGGCGGTGGCGATCAGCGACAGCGCGTGGCGAGCCGAGCGCGCCGAGTCGGCCGCCGGGCTCAGGGGCAGCCCCATTGTGATGCTAAACGGGAGCCGCACAAAGGAGGCACAAAGGAAAGCGGCATTAGAAATATAGAGTGAAAAGATTAGAACCAGCTTATAATGTCAGTTCAAGGTCACCGGGAGCACTCCGGCAGTTCCAATATAATGGACTCCCAACAAAGAGCAGTGATTAGGAGTCAGGGTGTTCCAGCATCAACCCCAAATCGAATAATTAACCATGAAGATTGAAAACAGTAAGTGCATCTGTCCAAAGTGGGCAAAAGGCCTTGTTAACAAATTATCTGTATGTGCTGAATACATATCACCCCACGGAGGCCCAGAGCGTCCTCCCAAGGATTTATGGTTTGGTCTTTTACAGTATTTTAAACACAGCCTGAAAAATCCCCTGGCCAGAGTAATTCGCCTTAATTCGAGGCTTTTACTTGCTGTGACAAGATAAAAGCAAAAAGCAATAAGGTGGTAAGTACCTAGTAACTGCAAAAATAAAATTTCTACGTGCCCTGCAAATTATCCAAAAATACCCCAAAATGCAGAAACACGGAATCACAGGCTGGTTTGGGTTGGAAGGGGTTTTAAGGATAACCTCAAAGTGGGCAAAAGGCCTTGTTAACAAATTATCTGTATGTGCTGAATACATATCACCCCACGGAGGCCCAGAGCGTCCTCCCAAGGATTTATGGTTTGGTCTTTTACAGTATTTTAAACACAGCCTGAAAAATCCCCTGGCCAGAGTAATTCGCCTTAATTCGAGGCTTTTACTTGCTGTGACAAGATAAAAGCAAAAAGCAATAAGGTGGTAAGTACCTAGTAACTGCAAAAATAAAATTTCTACGTGCCCTGCAAATTATCCAAAAATTCCCCAAAATGCAGAAACACGGAATCACAGGCTGGTTTGGGTTGGAAGGGGTTTTAAGGATAATCTATTCCACCCCTTGCCGTGGGCAGGGACACCTTCCACCCTCCCAGGCTGCTCCAAGCCCTGCCCAACCTGGCCCTGAACACTTCCAGGGATGGGGCAGCCACATATTTTCCTGGATAACCTGTGGAAGGGGTTCCTCCTTCTTCCCCGTGCTCTCTGACTGATATTTTGGGAAGAGAATAGCAGGAGTTTGTAATCCCAACCAGTTTATTTTCCTTTCCCATCACTGTGCAAATCAAAACTCCCAAACGTGAAACTAAATAAAGCCTCCACCACAAGGTGATGCCCCCACTGGCCTTTCCTTGGAAAACCACATCCAAACTCCTGTCCACGAGGTGTTCCATGAAAAAAGGAGTTAACTTTTGGAGAGGGTTGCCAAAGCCAGCAAACCCAAGTGCCTGTCTCCCTTTCTGAAGCGTCACACCAGCAGAGTTTTCCCCTACAGACGCTTGGCAAAGTGTGTATTTTCCTGGAAAGCAACAGGCTTTTAGTGAATTCCTTCCCTGGGAGGATGCCAGCCCTGCGAGGGGACATTCCAGCCAGGACAAAAGCAGCCAGACCATCCTAGCCCACCTTCCACCAGGTCAGATAAAACCGCACGGATTGACCCGAAGGCGATTTGCCGATCTGGCTGTTTCAGATCACAGCGGTGCCCAGAGAAGCTGTGGCTGCCCCATCCCTGGAATTGTTCCAGGCCAGGCTGGATGGGACTCCTGGACAAGTGGAAGGTGTTCCTGTCCGTGGCAGGGGGTGGAACGGGATGATCCTAAAATACCCCCAACCCAAACCGCTCCCTGAAAACCTGTGTGAAACATAGCTTAACTCAGACAGCAAAAACACGGCCAAAAATGATTCCTATCATCGTCCCAGCCAAGACATCAAAGCCTCAGAAAGCTGGGAAAACACTCTTTATCCTCACAGCGTCACCTTCGGGAACCAGGACGAGCTGGGCAAGCCGAGGAGTTCCAAGCACCTGAGGTTCGCCTAACAGCTCGGATATTCCCTCGATTCAGCAGGGAAAAAAAGAAACCCACTCGTTTTCCTGGTCAATAAATGTGATTTCTTCTTTTCTATCTAAAAGCAGAAGCTTGACATAAAAGCTCTTTAATAAAACCTCCGGGAGAGGCGCCGGCAGCTGTGTGCCGTTATTGTGTCCGCGGCAAATCCGGCACAAAGCGGGAGCTCAGCGGGGCTCCGGCAGGGTGAGATCCACACTTAACCCCTGCACACATTGTTGCTCCATTTCTTTCCATCTCCCTCCATCCTGGATCTGTCAGGAATGTAACAGGCCATTTTCAATCTAAATCTTGTTATGGATTAATAAGCAAACACTTTCGCGCTTATTATGCAATTTATCATGAGGAAAATTGCGCCGGGCTCCTCAAGGCTCCACGCTGATCCCTTCATTTATTCCCTGCTCTTTGGAGGGAGAGCCAGACTAATCTTCCTGACAGCTAAGGGTGGAATCACACCAGCAAAAGGACTCGCTGAAGAGCTGTGGTCACTCGGATCCTGGAAGTCAGGATTTACATAAAACGGGGCTTAGCAAGGGACAAGGTGCTGGTGCCTCCTGTCACACTACAAGGCACAACTGGAATTCAGACAAAAAACAATGCTAATCCAATTTGTCCGTATTTCTGCTGCCAACACAGGGCAAGGATTCATTCTTTGTACGTTGAGGAAACGAAAACTTCTATAAAATGGGCAATGTCTACCTCAGAATAATGTCAGAAGTGACTGACCTCCTCAAGACGGACGGATGTGGAAACACATTTCTGGGCAGCTCCCTATTGCAGGTGCCATTCAAATTCTGTGTTTGTCAACAAACATTTCACGGAGTCGTGGGATTGAAAGGAACCTTAGGGATGCCACGGGCAGGGGACACCGTCCGCTAGCTTCTCCAGGCTTTGTCCAACCTAACCTTGGACACTTCAGGGATGGGGCAGTCACATCTCCTCTGGGAATTCCATCCCTCCCCTTTCCAACACGCAGCTACCCCTGCCCTCCATCTTCCTTGTCCCCGTCCCTCGTTCCCCGCCCTGCCGAGCTCCTGAGGCCGGGGCTGGCCGCTGCGGTACCCACTTGGCCAGCTGCTTCTCGGCGTCGGCGCAGAGCTCCAGCAGCCCCATGAGCACGGCCGACACGTCCATGTAGGGCTCCCAGACGGTGAAGCCGCGGCCGATGAGGTCGATGGCGGTGCGGCGGATGGTGCTGTGCGCCGGGAGCCGCGCGCTGGGCGGCTGCAGCAGCAGGAACGTCAGCGCCTTGCCTGCCGGGGACGGCAGCGCGGTCAGAGACACCCCTGCCACGGGCAGTGACACCCCTTGCCACGGGCAGTGCCACCTTCCCCCAGCCCGAGGCATCCAAGCTGTCCCCGCGCTCCTGTGCCAAATCCCTGCCACGGGCAGTGACACCCCTGCCACCTGGGGCCACCCCTGCCACCTGGGGCCACCCCTGCCACGGGCAGTGACACCGTCCCCCAGCCCGAGGCATCCAAGCCGCCCCCGCGCTCCTGTGCCAAATTGGCACCGCTGAGAAATGACAGCGAACGCGCTCTGGGGGGAAAACAGGACAAGTGGACATGTCTAAACAGCCCTGAGTCCCACAGAGAAACATCTCAAATGACTTCACCGATCCTGAACCACCCCATCCAGGGTCTGCACATTTTGGAAACGCTTATTAATATTGCATTTAACGGCCCACCTTTAAATTAAAGCAATTACTTACGCATAAATGGAGGAGGGCTGAGCCAAGCAGCCTGCCTATAATTTATCATTATCTCTCCATCATTATTTATTACTCCTCAATACCGCTTCTTGTGGTAAAGATAATTGCTGATTTTATCAGGTTTTTTTCTTGAACTGTCCTCAACAAGTTGCTTGTTTTGTTTATTAAACAAGCCTCCTGTTGTTTTCAGGGAAAAGCCAACGGAGTTTTTCCAGCTGATTCACACCAACCGATCCCGATCCCTGCGAAGCAGCCCCCAAAATTCCTTCCTGCCATCTGCCTCCGACCCCAATCCTTACAAAATGTGCACCCTGCTGCTGGCACCAGCAGCACCCTGACCCAAAGGTGCCAGGGACAGCTTTGTTTAAAGCTTGGCCCGGGCTTAAGGGAAGGAATGAGTATTGACAAAAACATCCCGCGCTAATGAGTTGTTCGTTAGGGCAATAAACATGTCACGTTAGAGTCGGGCAGACGAGGTAATTAGCCCTGGAAAAGCTCAAGCAGCAGGGCTGCACGATGTGTTCTCCACACAAAAATGCACTGGGACAACTCCTCAGGCAGCCCAGGGAATGCCATTCCCACCTAAAGTGCTGTTAAAGGAGAATTTTATTCCAGGTGTTTCATTCTGCATGGGCACACTCGCTCCTTCTATGGCTTTATTAACCCAGACGTGCCCAAATGCTGATATTTATCACTTATTGTCACTGCACAGAAGGCCCTGGATTCCCAAAATGTCTCTCCTTGCTGTGGGATTTCTCTGAGCACACGGCTCCAGGCAGCCTTGTTATCCCCAGTTTGCCAATGGATTTTAAAAAATGAAATTATTTGCTGGGGAAAATCAATAGCCCAGGCAGGAATGAGACACTGAGAACTCTGATCAAGATCCAACTAAATCCAAATGATGGACTCCAAGAATAGGATTTAACTTGATTGTGACCCTTTCTAGATGACTGCCCAAAGAGAGACAGAAATTTGGAGAGCTGGGCTAAAATTCCCTTCATCCCTTTCTGCTCCTGGCCCAGTGAATTTTTAATCTTTTATTTTTACTCCATACTTTCTCTCAGGTATCAAACCAAGATAATTTCAGGCCTAAATGAAAAATCACTTGTTTTTTTTGCATAATGGTGATCAATTTTTTTTTTTTTCCCCCCAGTTACAACCACCTCCCATGTGGAATTGCTGGGAGCAGCCTGGGGCAGTGGGAGGTGACAAATCAGCCCAGCCCCGGGGGTACTCACACGTGTGCCTGGCCAGGGAGTAGTTGGATCCCCCGCTGGTGAGGCCGAAGCCCTCGGGGATCTGGCTGGAGCTGCGGGGCCGCGTCAGCAGCTTGGGCGGCTCGATCTCAGCGCCGAACTCGGCGCCGATGACGCCCAGCAGCACGATGGCCGTGGCCTGCTTGCGCCGCTCCTCGTAGGACGTGGACACCTTCTTGGGCTGGGGCAGCCCCGCCAGGCAGCCTGCAGGAGAGCCCAGAGCTCTGTTAGCGCCGCAACGCCAAAGAAACGTCGGCGTCGCCTACGGCATCGCGGCGCCAACCGCGTCCTTGGGAACGCCGGGATTCCAGGCATGGACGGGATTCCGTTCACCTCTAAAACCTCAAAACATCCCTTCAAACCCTGCCAAGAACATCACCAGTGTTCTTCTTCTTCCTTCAAAACCTGCCAAGAACCAGCCAAGAACATCACAATTGCCAACGCCATTGTGGCACCAACAGTTTCCTTCAAAACCTGCCAAGAACATCACCAGTGTTCTTCCTCTTCCTTCAAAACCTGCCAAGAGCATTGCCAACGCCATCGTGGCACCAACGGCGCCAACCGCGTCCTTGGGAACACCGGGATTCCAGGCATGGACGGGATTCCGTTCACCTCTAAAACCTCAAAACATCCCTTCAAACCCTGCCAAGAACAATGCCAATGCTCTTCTTCTTTCTTCAAAACCTGCCAAGAACATCACCAATTGCCAATGGCATCGTGGCATCAACGGTGCCAACCGTGTCCTTGGGAACACCGGGATTCCAGGCATGGATGGGATTCCGTTCACCTTTAAAAACCTCAAAATATCCCTTCAAAACCTGCCAAGAACAATGCCAATGCTCATCTTCTTCCTTCAAAACCTGCCAAGAACTCATGGGGAAAAACAGTCACCAGCAAACTCCCTAATTTCCAGGTTTGCTTGCTCAAAATCCCAAAATCTTTGAAGCAGTTGTTGGAATAAAACCTCAGTGATTTACTGACAAATGAAGTCCACTCTCACCTAGATGTAGATTTCCAGCATCCTGGCAAATTCCCTACCATTTGTTCCAAAGCATTGGGAAGTTTTGATCCTTCCCAAGTGCTGTTTGCTGAGGAGCTGGGACGAGGCTGGTGGATTAATGAAGGGTGGATTAATGAAGGGTGGATTAATGAAGAGCAGGGGGTGTCTCTGTTCATGACATCCACGGGGCTCCAGAGCAAAAGAAGGAAGCTTAACCAAATTTTAGGAGCCGTGGCCAGCCAAAAGGGAGAGAAAAACAAGAGAAATCTTAACAATGGGAAGGGAGGGAGGGGAAAAAAAGGGAAAAAATCGATAGCAACTGCCTTTGGAGGAAGCAGGATGCACAGGGGCTGGAACAAAGCAGGGCAGGAGCAGCTGGAGGTGGCCAGCACCGTTTGTGCCGTGTCCCAGCCCTGTCACGGGGCTCAGCGCGCTCCTGGGGCTGCTGCAGGATGCTCCACACCGTGCCAGGCACCTGCCCTGCAGCCATGCAGCCCTGCAGCCCCGCATGCAGGGACTGCAGCAGCAGCAGTTAACCCTTAGTGCAGGGAGCAGCCTTCACACCACCCCACCCTGGCTGCAGGGGATTTAAGGATGGTCCCATCCTTCCCTTAGCCCAGGAACTTCACACCACCCCATCCTGGGTGCAGGGGATTTAAGGATGGTCCCATCCTTCCCTTAGCCCAGAAACCACCCAACCTGGCTTTGGATACTTCCAGGGATGGGGAATCCTCAAGCTCTCTGGGCAACAGAATCTGTATCAAGAGAGTTTTCATGTATCCACCTGGAATGGCCAAAAAAAATAAAAAATCCTGCTGGGAATCCATGAGCTCCACCTCGATCCAGTTTTCCCCTGGGAAAACTCCCTGGCCTGGGCTGGGCACAGGAGCTGAGCTCCTTCCTGCTGCTCCCCCGTGCCAAGACATCACTCCTTGTTAACCCCACAAGGAACTCCGAGCAGGGCAGGGAAAGATCCACCGCGTCCCACGAGCAATCTGTGACAGCCTGATCCTCACAGCTGCAGCACAGGATTTTGTGCCTCAAAAGGAAAACAAGCCCCAAAATCCTCCAAACCAGAGGAGCCCTTTCATGTGGCCGCTGCAATTTGGTATTTCGTCCCCCTTTAATCACGGCACGGGATCCATTTTCCTGACAGGATGCTTGATCACCCTATCACAGGCACAAAATTAACAACCTCCAGCAGCTCTGCGTGGAAAACACGGTGCCAGGAGGACAAAAACCGTCGGAAAAACCCCAGCCGAGGCTGCTGCAGACAAACCAATCCTCAAAGGTCCATCCCAGCAGAGAAGAGCAGGGTGGGCAGGGGGCAAAGCGCCCAAATTCCAGTGGTTTGCAGCCTGGGGAGATGCTGGAGCTGAGGTCAGGCTGCAGTTAACACTCCCCTTAATTGGCTTTGCACACTTCTGGGGCAAAATTAATTTCAGCCCAGCTTACAATAAAAGGATTAAAGGGCGGGTAAGTTGTCCAGGTTGAGCTGGCAGAGGAATCCACGGGTGTGGGTTAAGGAGATGTGTGCTCTGAGGGGGCTGCCCTGCTGCAGAGCCAGGAGCCCGCCCTAAAATCCAGCCTGACCCACCAAATCCCTGCCCAGCCCCAGAGAATCTTCTGGAATTCTCCAGGAGGGGCAACCACACAACACTTCCAGCAGGCTCAGCACCGGGATTGACTCAGCTGCATAAAACAGCGCCTGGAAATACAGGAATACTGGGAACAGAGATTTCACATGGATAAATTATTTGCTGAACGCACAGAGAGAGTTGTGAGGACTCTCTCCAAATAAATCAGAAGGGAAAATGTTGTCTGGTGGCGGTGACCACAAGGAAAATGCAGGAAAACAGGAGGATGTTTAATTAAACCTGGGGTTACTCCAAGGCTGGGCATTCCTGGGGGCACAGCGCCCTCTGCCAGCCCCCACCGAAGGGAGCTGCACGGAATTCCTGCCTGCAAGGCAGAGAATTTTGGGAATTTCTCCCTCACAGCCCATCCTCTGTTACGTCTGTCATCGTAATTCAGCGCCAATTACTCACTTCTAATAACAAACAGCGTCGACAGAATCATTGCTCCGGAGTATCTGCAATTCTAAATTGGGAATAATTTAACAGCAGAGCTCTTCAAGTGCTGGGAGTTGCCACGCATTAGAAATTACAACTTAATTTCTTTAATTGCAGGTAGAAGATGTGCTTTTCCACACATCAAATGAGTATTTTTGCAGTTTACTGGAATTTTCTGCTCCCTTTTAGGAGGGAATATTTCACTGTGCTGCAGCATCCGGGAACACAAAATGGGTGAGGATGCTGCAGCCTTTTCCAGGGAAATAGGCAGAGACAAAATGGATCCTGTGCTGCTCACATGGGGAATGTCAGGCACCTTTTATCCAGGTTTTAAAGCACTGGGCCCATCCATTAAAATTTCCCTCAGAGGGGACATTTAAGGGATGAGAATCTCAATTTTTTAATGATCTGTTTAATGTTAATGGAATCTCAATATAAAGATCCTTTAGAGCAGTGATATTTAATACTTAAATAAACTGGATTTGAACTTTAGTGACAGCTTCCCAACAGGAACAAACAGTGATGAGCAAGACTTAATTTGGAGTAGTTACAACCCAAATAAAATTTTAAAAAACTGGTCACTTTTTGGTACAATCAGGCTTTTTGTTTTTTTTTTTTTTTTTTTTGATGTGCAGGAATGGGATTCATTCAGAGCCATTGGCATCAATTTACCTACAAAACTTGACCCACAAAAAATGGACCCACAAATCAAGAAATACCATTTCAGAAGAGATTGAACGGCTCTGATTTCAGGGTTATTAAAATTCACACTGCTCCAAGACCAACTAAAATGAAAACAGCACCTACCATTTGTTACAGAATTTCCTTCTGAAAGATTTGATTTCTTCCAGTAAAACAGTTGCAATATCACACAGAACAAAGAACAAATCACTTTGGAATTCGTTACAAATATTGGTCCATCAGAGAAAGAAACTGAGGTGAAGCTGTCTCAAAAATTCTTATTTTTCCCTCTACTCTCCCAAACTTTGAACCCAAAATTCAGGCTATGTGGCACTCTTAAATCAGAATAAATGAATTAGGGAAGAATGACAAAGAATCACTGTGTTTTTGAAGGACTGCTGCTGGCTGTGGGCAGGTTTAAGAGCCCCCAGAGCGGTGAAATGGAGACCCATTAATTATCCTGGCGGTGTTAATGACCCGAGAGCTCACCCGCTGCGATGTCATCGTCAGCCAGGTCGTGCTCCTCCTCCTGGGCTTTGGCTTCTGCTCCTGAGGGATCTGGGGTGGCACTCGAGCTCTGAAGGGCTTCTGTGGTCACTCCAGCTGCAGGGACAACCCCAAAATCACAATTCCCTCTCTGTGCAGCGGCCAAACCTCATTGCACTCCTCCAACCCCTGCCTCGCTTTGGTTCCTTCACCTCCAGCCTCGCACAGGATGCTCAACCTCATCCACAAACAGCAACGTTTGATTTTTATTTGCTTTTCCAGGGGTTATTCCCCATCCTGGGAGTGTCCCAGCAGGTCTGGAGCACCCTGGGCTGGTGGGAGGTGTCCCAGCATTCAGAGAAGCATCAAATCCCTTCCATTTTCTGCTGCCACACCGCAGGTGTTCCCTTCAAAAACAAACCACAGTCCACCCAAAAGAAGAGAATTTCAGGAAGAAGGCCCCACAGGTGATTTCTGGGCAGAAAGGAGCTACAATAAAGAATATTTCTTTATCTTTCCTATGCTCCTCCCTCTCCTAGCAGAATATATTTGTTATATCTTATTCCCTTCAATTCCTCCAGCTCTGTACCCTTAATTCCAGGAGTTGCAACACTTACCACAAAAACCTAACCCAAATTTGCTAGTTTTGACCCACTGGAATGATTTCCACTCTAACTGAGCCCAGAGAAACTCAAACCACATCCTAACATCTCCCATTAAGATTTCATACTAGGATCAGACACTCTAAAATCAGCTGGTGAATAAAAGAGGAACATTTTCAGGGGAAAAAAGATCATTCTGAGAATGTGGGGTTCCCAATCCCTGTCCCAGGATGGATGACTGGGAATGAGGGGCTCCCAGGATAGATGACTGGGATGAGGGTTCCCAATCCCTTTCCCAGGATGGATGACTGGGATGAGGGTTCCCAATCCCTTTCCCAGGATGGATGACTGGGATGAGGGTTCCCAATCCCTTTCCCTCAATGGATGACTGGGAATGAGGGTTCCCAATCCCTTTTCCAGGATGGATGACTGGGATGAGGGTTCCCAGGTCCTTCCCAGGATGGATGACTGGGATGAGGGTTCCCAATCCCTTTCCCAGGATGGATGACTGGGATGAGGGTTCCCAATCCCTTTCCCGGAATGGAGGAGTGTTCACAATCCCTTTTCCCTCAATGGAT